TATAAGATCTTGGCTAGACTATTCTATAACTGATGAATATATATATTGATTTTTTTGTTGATATTATTATTTTTAACAAAACACACATTACTTATACCAGATAAGTTTTCAGACTGAATTAAATGTATTGACAACTCTCAAAAATCAGATGTCACAGAACACAAGGAGGCTATGTTTATTTGGATTGCATGTAAATTGAATCAAAATGTACTTTACCATTGTGTTGAAGAACAGACAAGAAGGAAAAGTTTTACTCTGAAGTACTAAAAAGAGTAGTTGAGGGTATTGTTGAGTGAAAAAGGTTTACCCATCAGTGATCACAATGAAAAGTGATGCTCTTCAAATAACAGAAATTTCAGGGAGTCATCAGACTAACTGCTAGATTTGATCCATTTTTACATGAGTGCTTGAAAAACTATCAGAATGAAAGGACAAACATCACTTATTAATCCAAAACAGCTTGTGAAGACTTAATCAAAATAAGTGAAAACCTGTACAAAATGAAGTGAGAAATCAAACAAACAAACCAGACATCAATTAACACTCTATTGCTTCAGATTCTACAATAGTGGATTGCTTTGTGTATGCCATCATATGTGCTACTCTAAGATAGAAAACCAACTTGCTATGCAGAAAACCAATTTTTAAATTTTTTGCCAAAATTCATCTGAAATTAAGGCATACATGAGAGTAATTCAAATACAGTTCTGGCTTTCCAGCAGGGTGATGAAGCTCTGGATAACTGTAACCTGCGTGGCTCATTTGCAATCCACCAATGACAACATGACTGTTAGGAGAGGTGACAAAGCTTCAAGCACTCTTTAAAAACATTAGTAAGTAAAACATTCTGGACGCAGCTCATCGTTAAATCACATCAGGAAAAGCTGCCTCCCAGTCCCTGAAGTTGTTGACTACTGCAGGATTTTGCAATAGTTATGCTTTCTTCTTGGGCTTCTCTCTTATACTAGATGTAGTATTTTAAACACCCATGCCAAATTGAATTTTTCTTTTTAAGCGTCTAAGGATAGTGAGATGGTTTGCTCACTAAAAAGCAGTGAGATCTTGTAGCACAACATTTTAATGACTCTGAAATATATTTTCTGTGAGAAGGAAAACTTGAACACAAACAAGACAGAAAGTTTATTCAAAAAGTTAATAAAGGTTGCACAAAAGGCCACATGTTGTGTAATTCTATTTATATGAAATGTCCAGAATAGGCAAACCCACAGAGACAGAGAGTAGATTAGTGGTTGCAAGGGGCTAGGAGGAGAGGGGAATGGGGAGTGACTGTTAAGGAGTATGGGATTTCTTTTGGGAGGTGATGAAATGAAATTAGATAGTGGCGATCGTTACTCAACTTTGTGACTATACTACAAAACCACTGGATTGTACACTTTTTAAACAGGTATATTTTATGATATGTGAATCATTTAAAAAATTAACAAAGGTTGACTATGCCATTTTAACTACAATTTGGAAAAATGATTTTAGACTAGTTCAGTAAAAAAAAGTTAAATTTCAGATTTGGACACATATGGAGGGTTTCAGTTTTTTATTAAATACAAAAGAAAATGCATAAAACTATTGGAATATGGGGCAAGTGATTAAAAATAAGCAAATAGAAATTATTCTGACATCAGGAAGCAAATTCTAAGAGAGAATTTTTCAGATCTCAATAAAAGCAGTAATTAAAGTGTAGGGATAAATTTCAAATAGATCGAATAGGCTCTTGGAGTTTTTGCCAATGCAATTAATGAAGAGAAGGGAAAATACTGAATTTTTTGCTGAATTTTTCATAAAAAAGCAATTTAAAGGTAAAATGAAACTCATAATTGCCACTGTTATGAAGACACCGACGACAAACTGTTTAATAACAAGTCTCCTAGATTTAATGAATATTCATGATTACCCTGGCCCAAGAAAACATGAAATGATCCTACAGGAAGGAAACCTGAGGGAAGTTTCAGCAAATTTAACATCAAAATCTTAAAAATGTACATGGTATTACCAATAATGAATTGCAAAGCTCAAACTCTTCTAAACCATTAAAAAATGCAATCGATCAAAGACTGAATTATCCTTCCACTTTTTCTTTTGATACCTACAGAGTATGCCATTATATGAATGCCCTATATTTAACCTATTCCCTTTTGTATGGCATTTAGAATGTTTCCAATCTTTTTTTATTATAAACAATGATGCAACGTATTTTCTGACATATACCTTTTCCTTCAGGTAGATACATTCCTAGAAGTACAACTGCTAAATCAGAGAATATACATGTTTAAATTGGATTAATATGATGCCCCCTCCGTGCCCCAGCAAAAATCATGCCTATTTCCCTACCCTCAGGAATACAGCGTGTTGTCAAATATTTAGATCATTTTAAAATGGTAACTCCTTGTCATTTTTTTAATATATTTTTTTAGAGCAGTTTTAGCTTCACAGCAAAACTGAGCAGAAAGTACAGAGTTCCCACATACCCCCTTACCTCACATATGCACAGCACCGCGCCCCCATCAACATCTTGCACCAGAATAGTACATTTGTCACAATTCATGACGCTACATTAACACATCATTATCACCCAGAGGCCCTAGTTTACATTAGGGTTCACTCTCAGTGTTGTGCATTCTATCGGTTTGGACAAATGTAAAATGACATGTATCCACCATTACGGTATCACACAGAATAGTTTTACTGCTCTAAACAGCCTCTATGCTCTGCCTATTCATCCCTCTCTCCTCCCAATCCCTGGCAACCACTTATCCTTTTACTGTCTCCATAGTTGGCCTTTTCAGATTGGCTTCTTTCACTTAGTAACATGCATTTAAGTTTCCTCTATGTCTTTCAATGGCTTGCTGGCTTATTTCTTTTTAGCACTAAATAATATTCCACTGTTCAGAGGTACCATAGCTTATTTATCAGTTCACCTACTGAAGGACATCTTGGTTGCTTCCAAGGTAGGTAATTATGAATAAAGCTGCCATAAACATCCGTGTGCAGGTTTTTGTGTGGACGTAAGTTTTCAGTTCCTTTGGATAAACACCAAGGAGCATGATTACTGGACCATATGGTCAGAGTATGTTTAGTTTTATAAGAAACTGCCAAACTGTCTTCCAAAGTGACTGTACCATTTTGCATTCCTACCTACTGCTCCACATCCTTGCCAGCATTTAGTACTGTCAGCGTTTTGGATGTTCACCCTTCTAATAGGTATGTAGTGGTATACAGTGGTATATCTTATCATTGCTTTAATTTGCAATTCCCTAATGGCCTATGATGTGGAGCATCTTTTCATATGCTTATTTGCAATCTGTATATCTTCTTTGGCAAGGTGTCTGTTCAGATCTTTTGCCCGTTTTTTAATTGAGCTGTTCATTTTCTTATTTTTTGAGTTCTTGTCATTTTAATTTTCATTTCTCTTACTAAGATTGAACAATTTTTTGATGCTTAAAAGCCATTCGCATTTCCTTTTAGAAAATGTATTAAATGTTTGTTTGAAACTTCTGCCTGTTTTCCTATTGTATAGTTGGTTTTTTAATTGTAAAAATTCTTTACATATTAAGGAAATTAGTTCTTTATGAAATAAACATTTTCCCACTTTGTCACATTTTTACTCTATTTCATTTTTTCCTCCTTATACAGTCAAATTAATCAATCTTCTATGGCTCTCATAGTTTTGTCATGCTTAGAAAGATCATCCCCACTCCAAGATTGTTCTTAAATTTCATATTTTCTTCTCTTTTCTAGAATTATTTACTTTCTTTTTCAACATTTAAATCTTTGATCCTTTTGAAATTGTTTTTTAAGTATGGCTATCTGGCTCCCCCAACATCATGTATTGAACAATCCCAAATTTACCCCTGACTTGAAATGTTATCTTTATCATATACTAATTGTCTCTATGATAAGGGGTCTATTTCTGCACTTTTTGTTTCATTGACCTTTATGTCCATTCCTATACCTCTACCAGACAGGTTCACTAAAGCTTTATATTCGGTTCTATCTAGTCTCTCTGGGTCATAATTTCCTTGCATGTTCCAGAACACACTTATTTTCCATATAATGGGAGATTATATGGAAAATTCAAGAAGTAGCTTGTATAGGCCAAAAAAAATCTTTAGAATTTTTACAAAATGTTAAATAGATTCAGGGAGAATTGATTCTTTATGAAATAAAATTTTTCTAAGAACAAATTACTAGGGCTTTCCTTATCAAGTCTCCTTTTATGGCTCTTAGTAGCCTTTCAAAATTGTCTTCACATGGATCTTGCATATTTCCTGTGATATTTATTCCTAGCATCTCAGGTAGGAAGTTCCCTTCCTATATTATATCTTCTAATTGGTTATTGTTTGTATATATATTAAGGCTAATTATTTCTTACTAGTAATTTTATTTTTTTAACATTATCATTACATTTGCTGTCACAAGAGTATGTGGAATATATACACAATTAAACACAATAATCAGACACTGTAAAGCAACCACCAGCTGAAGACCTAGAATAGTACTAATGTACCAGTGGCTCTACTTGTGTGCTGGCCCCATCCTATTCCCTTAATCCTCCAGAGACATCACTACCAATTTATGTTTATTATTCCTATGATTTGTAAAAGAGGTTTAACACTGGGGGCCGGCCTGGTGGCATAGTGGTTAAGTTAGCATGCCCTGCTTCAGCAGCCCAGTGTTTGCAGGCTCGGATCCCCGGTGTGGACCGACGCATCACTTGTCAAGCCATGCTGTGGCGGTGTCCCATATAAAGTAGAGGAAGATGGACACGGATGTTAGCCCAGGGCCAATCTTCCTCAGCAAAAAGAGGAGGATTGGCAACAGATGTTAGCTCAGGGCTGATCTTCCTCACACACACAAAAAAAAGAGGTTTAACATTGTATTATGAATCCCTACTTATTGCTTAGTTTTGCTGGAATATTAACTTTGTGTGTGTTATCTTCTGAGACTTATTTCATTAAATGCTATGTTACTAAAATTTATCAAGTTGTGAGTAGCTGTGGTTCACACTTTTTCATTGCTATATTATATTCTGTTATGTGAATATACCATAATTTATTCAGCCATTCTCCTGACAATGGACATGTGGTTGTTTCCAGATTTTTGTTACTGCAGGCAGTCCAGCTATGAACATTCTTGGTCTCCTGGTATCCACACACAAGGGTTTCTCCAGAGTCTAGACCTAGGAGTGAAGTCTGCTTGTCTGTAGGTATACGAGTATTCTACCTTATATGATAATGCCAAGTTGTTTCTCAAAGTGATTATACCAACTTATACTCTCACCAGAAGTATAAGAATTATTGACTCATAATCTATCCAATACACCATAATCAGATTTCTTAATTATTGCCAATCCTGTAGATGCAAAATGGTGTCTCATCATGGTCTTAATTTTGTGTGTGTGTGTGTGTGTGTGTGTGTG